CCGTTATTACGCCTTAAGTACAGGCCTGGGTGTACGAGTTTGTACGCAAATGGTACGACTAAGGTAATCTGGCTGGTAGCCGTGTGGTAATACGGCAGGGGTAATACGAGGAATTCTAAAAAATCCGGGGTGATCCGGGGAATTTTTAGGGTAATCCGAAATTTTGGGGGGGTAATCCGGGGTAATCCAGGAAATCCGTGATTTCGGCTGACACAAAAGTTTAACAGTCGTTTCCCCCTTGGCGTAAGTACTCGGAAATTAGGTAGTTCGACACTGTAAGAAATTCCGTAGGCTAATTACGGAATTCCGACGGAACTCACCGGGCGTTTTGAAAATCGAGTGGCGCGACCCCTAAACGTTGTCGCATGGACTTCGGACAGCGACAGGAAATCATCGTTTAATGTCCTATATCATTTAGCCCCCAAACCTCCTCAATTCGACCTCCAATTTCGGACAGGCTAGTCTAGGTGGGTCTGCCAGGAGACGGTAAAGTCCGATCGCCAAAACTGCACCCTCGACCTGCAGAAAGCCCCTACCCTACAATATTGCCAGGAAAACGCCGTCCACTACATTTAAATACCACTCACCCACATGGCCGTTTCACTCGCCTGGTGCTCATTCTATCGGCCGCGCCGAAACAGCGAGTTCCAGTCGAGTCCTGCGGTTGGGAGCGGACTATACCGCTTTCCGCCAGGCCCGCCAAAACGTTTCGCGTCGCATTATTGCATAACCACAACATTCTCCCACCTGCTCCTAAACAATGAATGTTCGTTTTCAATTCGGCCGCGCGGGGTGCTTGGGCCGCACTAGGACGAGGTGATGGTATTTTCTGGTAGAAAACGAAAAACCTTTTCACCAAAAAAATTAAAACCCATACATTTTAGCGAGGGAGGGTGTGAAGGTCTAATTGCTCCGAATTAGGGGCTGACCCGAAATAGGTTTAGACGCTCAATCCGTTATCGATATCGAATCGAAATGTCGAAAAAAAAATTACCGAAAAGTCAAATAAATGTGATCAAAAAGTCACAAAAAAAGTCAAATAAAAGTACATAAAAAGTCAAAAAAAGTCAAAAAGTAACGGCGAATGAAAATTGACCAAAAGTAGGTGTACGCCCAGAATCGGAGTGGTGTACCCCTCGCAGGGGCTACAGCCCACGGGGTGGATTCCTGGGACTTAAGATTTGTGGTAATTCCAATCCAATATTTGGGCTTTATATGTGTGTACCCTTTCTTATGGTTCTCCAGCTTTTTCTACACTTGGTTGGGTCTAAATGGAATCTTGAAGATGAAATGGGTACGGGCAACGTCACCCAGCACCCCACCCCAGTTTGAACAGTCAACTCGCGCCATCCAGCCGGCCGTTTCCGGGCTCACGCATGGATCGCGCCCAGCCCATTGCGTTGCTCGACCCTGGTTGAGCGATAGAACAATTTCTCTCGTTTCGTGTACCTCACCGATAAGCCCGTGTCTTTATTTTCAACCGTCGTATGACAATTTTGTTCTATTAAAGATCGTTGAACCCAGGGTCTGATCTGTATTCTCTCCACATTTTACCAGGTTGACGCTATCCACCTCCGGGAGCGGTGTCCACGGTGTTCACCGAGACCAGAATGGGCGAGTCATTTGCACTACGACCTCGCACTGCTCGAGCTGAAGACACCCGTCACGCTCATGCCTGTCTGCGTGCCGAGGCCAGGCGTGGTGGCGTCACCCCTTAACTCACTTACTGAAGGGCTGGTAAGATCGCGACTCTTTAACATAGGCCTAGACCTATGGTAATTGCGACACCTGAGAAGAACAACCGCTTACCTCTGCGGACTGGAAACAAACCCGCTTACCTCTGCAACCCTCAAACAAAACCGCTCACCTGGGGCATGCAAACAAAGCCGCTTAAATGACTTTTTTAGACATTCTGAAACATGGCTTTCTTTCGCAAGAGAATTTTCCCGGTATTATTTTGATACCCCTATCTCAAAATGTGTAAAAAAAAAGTTCCATTCAGGAACGGATCGGGAAAGCAAGATGATACGAATTCAAGAATTATTCTAGTCTATAGTATTTCAGTGGCAGATCAGGGGACGCAGAATTTGCAGAAGTATATCGATAGTTTACAAATCTTTATTCACATTTAGTTACGTATTTATACACAAACAGATTTGGGTTGTGTTCTGTGTCTCCTATACTTTGTAATGTTTTGAAGGGTCTAAGACAAAGTTAGTGTGAAGAGGAACGTAGACAGTTTGCGAGTGATACTTCTCAATAGAGACATGGTGTGAAAATAATGTTTCTGAATTAATTAAGTTCTGTCTCTTCATAGTTAGGTTAGAGTTTGGATTACCGCGCCGCGCGCGGTCCTCAGCACGGAGCACACAGAAGCAGAGGTTCCACTGGGATAGGCCGGCCCCGACGAATGCCGTACTGGAAGGGTTGGCAACCTAAGACGAGAAACTGGTGACAGTTTCCTGTCGTATTTTTAGTTTAACGATAAAGTACTACAAGGTATTCTCGTTTCCCTCATAAGTACACTATTCCACAATAACACAAACACCAACAAAAGGAAAAATACGCATTTTAACTATTTGGCCCCGGTGGCAACCTGCTGTGGTGCTCGTGAGGTTGGCAGCAGTACCAGTGCGTGGTGAAGGAGATTGGCAGATGTGCCCACTTCCAGATTTGAACGCTTTTCAACAAGCGATTGTGATGTTTGTTGGTCGAAATGAATATGAAAATCTTATTTTTAGAGCTGCAGGACTCATATTGCAAAGTTTGAGAAATGTACGCTGAGAGGAAACAAAAGTCATTTCTGTAACGGCTTACGTGTTGAAGAGAGGGGTTGTTGGGGGTAGGGGAAGATGACAAGGTCAGTGAAAATTGAAATCTAACTACTGATTCTGATCCCTCTTTTTTAAAGAAAATGAAACTTTTTTATTACCAAATGCAACTAGATTTGAAATAACAGAGATTGGTATGAAAACAGGAGTCTAACTCTGGTCTCGGAACTTAATACAATAAAATTACTAAATTGTAAACTGTAAAAGCTGTTAAATTAAATCGTGTACCCCTTTTATGTTAGTAATTCCGTCTTCAACTGTGTGTCATTTATCTCTAACAATAACATAAACTAAAGTCAAACGTATACCAACATTTTTCCCTGTCGAACTGCAACTGCAATTAACTAATCCATTGCACAGCCAATATCGTTACTTTGATGTTGTCAAACATTTGTTTGGTAAACCAGTAAGACTTGTATTCTCTTACATTAGTTTAGTTAGAATGTGTTAAGATAAACAAGTATTTTGTACAACAGCACCTTTTTTCATTTCTAAAATTATTATAATTTTATTCCTTGCTTACAGTTATACACATGTAGAACAAAATTAAAAGTAACGATATTGCCTGTTCAATGGATTGGGTAATTGTAGATGCAGTTCGACATGGAATGATGTTGGTTTGAGTTTGGGTTTAGTTTGTGATATTATTAAAAATAAATGAGACACATTTGGAAGACTGAACTTCTAACATCTAATAGAGGAACATGATTTAACAGATTTGACAGTTAATTTGAAGTAATTTTCCCTTTCAGTTCTGGGGCCACAGTTGGACTACACATGGGAAAGTAAACAGAAAATATCTTATGGTCTGTGACGATCAGAGGTGAAATAGGCGAGTCATGGACTCCAAACTAAAAATAAAAGTATTGTCATTTTTGACATTGTTTGTACTGTTTTGATACCAATATATCCGTTATTTCGACTCTGATTGCATTTGGTCATGAAAAACTTTCGTTTTCTTTTAAAAAGAGAATCCGAATCAGTCAATAGATTTCAATTTTCAAAACCTCGATCGAGTAACTCCCGTGCTGGTATTGTTTTCCAAGTAAAATTTGTTGTAAACGGTCATTCCTGTGAGCCGCGGAAGAAATATTATCTCAGCGGGCGGCTGGGGAGGCCCCACGAGGCACCCTCTCGCCCGCGCTACGCCTACCTGGCTGACCGCCGGCCGGCCGGCCAGCTGGAGGGTTTGAGCGCCCCGCCCCGCCCAGTAGTTGGCCGTACTGCTCTTCAGAGCGCGCTAGTAGTACGGAATTGACGCGAACCCGTAAGCTGGGAGTGGTATCTCTGCTTCTCTGTGCTCCGTGGTCCTCAGCCGAGACGGCCCGAGCCGAGCTCCGAGCTGCGCTTCGAGCCGAGCGACGAGCCGGGTTAGAAGGGAGGGGGCCCTGCGTAGCTATGGGCTTTGCGGCACGTTCGGACGGACGGGACCCGTCCGCGTCACGCGCCCCTACTTACACTACTGAATGGCGTCATCGTCATGCCTGGTGTCTCTCAGCGCTCCGCATGAGAGTACAAGCAATGATACATAGTGAGGGATCGTACCCATACTACGTGACCTCTTTTAAGGGGGAGGGAGGGGTTTGGCAAAATACTACGATCGGTCACCG